GGGAGGAGCTCCGGGCTGACGCTGGGTTCGGTGGGAAGAGAGGGCGGAAAGCAGAGGGGGAGGGAGCGGGGAGGGGCAGGGGGAAAGCCAGCTTGGGAGAGGGGGAGGGGAGCCCACCGGAGGAGGACTGGAAGGGGGTAAGAGACGGGGTGTCCTGTCCTGGGAATTGTCCCAGTAGGTGAAGCCTCGTGGGGAGGTGTTGGTTTTGAGGTACGGTGTTAGGGAGAGGAGCCATTTCTTACTTTTAACAAGAACCCTTCTCAGAGATGCACCCCCACTATCCCTAAAGTGACATTCACCTCCGCCCTGGCTGGCTCCTAATTCACCAGTTCCTGCAGTGACAGCTGGAGGTCCCAGGGGATGAAGTTTCCCACCCACTCTCTATCCTGGTGTCCCACCCTCCCCTCTCTCCCCAGAGAATCCCTGGGTTCCTTCATTCCCCCAGGAGAGGACACTGGTGTGCTCTGGGGTGTCGCTGCTAATGGTCTAGGGCTGGCTCTGAGACCTGCCCGGTGCTTGAAGACATGAATTCTTGGGGTCCTCGCCTTCCAAAGTCTCTGCCTTCACTACCTGGGGACATCACCTTTGCAGCTCCTAGGGAGAGGTTATAGGGAGAGGTCATAGGGCGAGGTTGGGCACAGCCAGCGTGCTGGCAGGAGCTGGCAGGAAGAACCTGAATGAGCTGCCTCCTCTCTTTAGGGTCTGTGGCCTGATCCCCAAGAGGGGCTACTCCCTGTTGTCATGAGAGAGACCCTGGAGGCCCTCAGCTCCCTGGGTGAGTCAGACCCTGGAGGAATGTGCAGACATTTGGGGACAGCAGAACCATCCTCAGGAGGCTGTCCACACTGGGCTGGCACATGTAGGGCAGCATCCTTCCAGGTGCTGTGGTGTGGGACTGTCTGGAAGAGAGAAATTGTGTCCGCCTATGTGAGTGTATGTGAACACTCAGAGGGCCCTGGGATTTAAGTATATTTTCACTACTCTGTTTCTTCTTCCTCCCATCTTTAACTCCAAGGGGCTCAGTTGTTACCAGGAAGGCTCCTTTCCAAGCAGGTCCTTAATTCTGGGTGGGATCAATTCTGATTATCAGTTCTGGGTGGGATGCTTCACTTGGACCCATCTTTCTGCCTATGACAGGATTCTCTGTGGGACAGCCAGAGATGGCCCCCCAAAGTGAACCCAGGGATGGGTCTCATAATGTCCAGGGGCAGATGTCCTCCACCAGGGCAGACAGAGCAATGAGCACACACTCAGGTAAGTAGGTAGGGACCATGCAAGGTGGTGCATGGAATAACCTTTTTGGCCTTTATTCCTCTCTTCCACTTAGTAGTTTTGAACATCTACTATGTGCCAGGTGCTAGACATTTGGGGTACCTTTGTGACCAAAGATCTCTACCTATAAGGCACTTAATCCTAGAGTGCAGAGTCACCCAACAATAAATGTAAAAATGAGAAAAGTTAGAAATTGTTAGGACATTATCTGTGCTATGGGGGAGAGGATGAAGCACAGAGAGGTTGCAGTTTGGGGAAGATTCATTGTAAGATTCACTAGAGTGCTGAGAACAGGCTAGATTGGGAAGATTTGGAAGAGGTAAGACAGGTGGCTAAGGGGACCTCTGGATAAGAGTCTCTGGAAAGGGGCAGCCGGGACTGGGCACCTAAGGCAAAAGCGTGCATGCCTGGCCTTGATATTAACCTTCACTGAAGATTTGCCTTGCAACTGGAGTCCATTTAGCGGGTAGGGGACCACCTGGCTCCTGGGAAACAGGTGAGCCTCAAGTAAGTTCCAGGCTACTACCTCAAATAGTGTATTCCAGAAGCACCTCTCAAGTGTGGTTCCTTCATCCCACTTGCCCTTAGCAGCTGCCCTGGGGGAAGGAGCCAGAGGTATCCCTGGACAGCTGGGCATTTGGGCCCTGAAGGTATGATGTGGGACCAAGTCCTATGGATGGGCTAGGAGTGGTGTTTCAGGTACCCCTGCTTCCTACCACCAGTGGGAACTTTCATCTGCCTGTGGTGCTTCCAGAGCTCTTCAGGTCCCCTCTTCCCTTCCAGGACACAAGTTTCCTGGCCCAGAAGATGATGCCCAGACTGAACAAGCCGAGGCTCCCTGCAGAGGTGACCAAATATGCACCCCACAGAAGGCTGAGCCTGTGGGCTCCTGCTCCAGTGAGTTTGCCTGTTGCTGCATCCACCATGGGGTCAGGCAAGGGGCAGAGGAGCCCAGTAGGCACCCAGAGGTGTTATCTGATGAGGGAGATCTGTCCCCTTTCCCAGAGGCAACAAATCCAGACCTTCCAGGTAGCATGAGTTCAAGCCCTGGCTCTTTTTTTCAGTGCCCAAAGCAAGTTCCCATCAATAGGCAGCAGAACTGGAGAGCCAGACCACAAAGGAAAACACACTTTGCCTCATACCCAGCTCTAGAAGCTCCAATTTCCCTCTTCATGGACCCCAGCCTTAATACATGGTGTTGGTCACCTGAATTACAATGGCCATGAAGATAAAGGATGTTGATCAACTTTTTCACTCTGTCTCTCTGTCCTACAAATCTCTACGGATCCCAGTGGTACCATGTAGTCAACCTATCTCTTCCATACCCAAGGCCATCACTCTACAATCCCACCCTCCCTTCCTTCCACTGCCACCTCTTGCCTGAGTGACTTCACTTCTCCAACATGATTTATTTAGCGACTACTATGTACAGGCTATGTTGGGCATAGTGAGACCAGATTGGCCCTAGACCGGGTTTGAGCACTATCTCCACATTTATAGTACTGGTTGAGGACTGATAGGCTGCCTGCTTGCCAGGAGCTCAGGTTTGTCTCCCTTGTCTAATAGCAATTTAATGTTGTGAAGGTTTGTGACAATGTACAGACAGTGGCTCTAGAAAAATAGTGATGATCCTCAGTCTTATTTTTTATTGGACACAGGACAACGTATTTGTTATTAGACACAAAATCAGAACACAGACATCTATCCTCTAGAAGCTAAAATCTAGTTGGGATGGCATTAATATGAACCAGGACAAAGAACTGAAAACTATACGAAATAAATAGATGTGAAAATGTTCATAGAAAGTGCTACAGGAGTTTATGGTAAAAGAGCTGTGTGTATTGGATCTGTTACAAACATTGCTTTATGCTGTGTCTTGAGAGAGTGTAGACTCTAGCTCTGAAGCCAGGTGAGTGCAGGATGGAAAGACATTCTAGGCTGAGAAAGACTTTGAAGCAGAAAGTGACACATACATGCTTGGGTTGAAGGATTGGCGTAGTAAAAAGGAAGGGTTCACATCTGAAAAAGAATGTTGGATAGGTTTGGATGAGCCTCAGATGTAGCTTGAATTTGTTTTATCCTTTAATGGGGAGCTTTTGATGGTTGTCAAGAAGAGACGCATAATGAAAATGAAAGTGATATCACAGTATGACAAATAGTTGTTTGGAATCATTGGATTGATAGAAGAAACTGGACTAGATGAAATTGTAGTTATCTGTGTTAATGTAACCAAGGTTCAGGCTATGATAGACTTTTAGGGCCAGACAGGAACTCATATCATCTGGTTCAATGTTTCTCAAACAAGATTTACTCTGGGAGCTCTAAAGAAAGAGAACAGAGCCAGGCATGGTGGTATAGGCCTGTAATCCCAGCACTCTGGGAGGCTGAGGCAGGAAGATGGCAAGTTCAAGACCAACCTGAAAAATTTAGTGAGTCCCTGCTTTGAAATAAATAAAAATGGCTAGGTCGTAGCAATGTGTTTCCCTAGCATGTGTAAGGCACTAGGTTTAACTCTCAGTCTAAACAGTAATACACCAGAGTCATGGCCCTGCCCCTGTAACAGATGCCTTTGGTGAAAGCTCCCCAGGAAAGGGGGTAGAAATTCCCAGTACTCTGGCAGGGAGTACTGGGGCAGAGAGCAGCAGAAGCAGTCTTAAAGTTAAGGTCAGCCAGGAGGAGGGATGGAGCTCTAAGGTGAGACCAGGACTGCCTGGGTGGCAGGAGGGGGAAGCGTTGCCTACAGAGGATGTATGGAAGGGCTTCAGGGAGAAATACCCTGTAGGGTCCACACCAGACTTGGATTTGGTCACCCCTGGCTCAAAGGGCTCGAGGAGTCAGGCTGCAAGGCTCCCAGAATCCCTGATTTGGAAAAAAAAAAAAAAAAAAAAAAAAACATGGCAGAGTGTGGGCTTAATAGACAATTCTTATTTTGACTGTTCAGGTGATGAGTGGATGATTCGGAAGGTGAAGGTGGAAGATGAAGATCAGGAAGCAGGAGAGGAAGTCCAATGGCCCCAGCATCTATCGTTACTTCCTAGCGCCTTTCCCACCCCCGAACTGGGGCATCTGGCAGCCGCATACAAACTGGAGCCTGGGGCCTCCGGGGCATTAGGTGGACTGGCGATGTCCGGCTGGGTCCCAGAGAAGCCCTATGGCTGTGGGGACTGCGAGCGGCGCTTCCGGGACCAGCTGACGCTGCGGCTGCACCAGCGGCTGCACCGCGGCGAGGGCCCGTGTGCCTGTCCCGACTGCGGCCGCAGTTTCACGCAGCGCACCCACATGCTGCTGCACCAGCGTAGCCACCGCGGCGAGCGGCCCTTTCCGTGCTCTGAGTGCGACAAGCGCTTCAGCAAGAAGGCGCACCTGACTCGCCACCTGCGCACGCACACTGGTGAGCGGCCCTACCCATGTGCGGAGTGCGGCAAGCGTTTCAGCCAGAAGATCCATCTGGGCTCACACCAGAAGACCCACACGGGCGAGCGCCCCTTCCCCTGCACAGAGTGTGAGAAGCGCTTTCGCAAGAAGACGCATTTGATTCGGCACCAGCGCATCCACACAGGCGAGAGGCCCTACCAGTGCACACAGTGCGCGCGCAGTTTCACGCACAAGCAGCACTTGGTGCGGCACCAAAGGGTGCATGATGCTGCTGCTGGCCGGGTCCGGCCCTCCCCTGAAGCGCCAGCCTCGCCCCAGTCTCCCTCTATGTCCCCCGCACCGTCCCCACCCGGGCCCAAACCGTTCGCCTGCTCCGACTGCGGCTTGAGCTTTGGGTGGAAAAAGAGCCTTGCCACACACCAGCGTCTGCACCGCAGCGAGGGTAGCCCCTTTGGGTGTGACGAGTGTGCCCTGGGTGCCATCGAGGACCCCACAGCCACTGAGTCGTTTCCCTGCGGGCCTGGTGGCCCGGGCTGCAGCCCAGGCCCTGGCCCTGAGGTGCCC